CCCGGGTTAAGGCTAAAGCTCAGGCTGGCAGGGACCCGTGCTTGCAGGCATCCCTCGGACACCAACACCAAACCCAGCTCTCATCCTGATGTACGACCCCTCCGCTTCCCGAGGCATCGCGTGCAACAGCCGGAAGAACGCAACACCCAACGGTGTTTTACCTGGAGTCTGGGGCTTTCCACACCTTCCCTTTCCCACAGGACTGGGGCAGCCGGGACCGTGGAAGGAGCAGGAGCCAAGGATGTTTCAGCAGCAGTTTTGGGGTCCAGCCGTGCAGAAGCGCTCGCCGGCCGGGCACCGGATGCGGTCACGCTCTACCCCAATGGTGATGGCAGGAACGAGCCCACACGAGGTTCCATGACGCTTCCCCTCTGTCATCTGCCTCATTTAAATACATTTGGGTGTTTCTCTGCTGTTCTGCAGCTGTTCCTGCTCCAGGGCTGGGGACGTTGTATCCCCTTGGGCTACAAAGTTCTCCTTTGTGCTCCATCTTCCAGCAGTTTTGTGCTAAAATGCAGTAGAGCTTCAGAGGAACCAAGAGGTTCCCAAGGGCAGGGAGCTGCCACCCAAAAAGTGCTCTGGGTGCTTCCAAGAAAAAGTCTTCTCTAGGGGGAAAACATTTTAAATCCCAAGGGAGAGGGGCCAGGAGCCTGCCATGGCTTGGGATCTGCTGGGGGGTGAGCAGTGGGAGTGATGGACAGGCCCCCTCCTGCCCATTGTCTGGAAAAATTTCCTGGTGGGTGACAATAGGGCAGGGAGCTGCCACCCAAAAAGTGCTCTGGGTGCTTCCAAGAAAAAGTCTTCTCTAGGGGGAAAACATTTTAAATCCCAAGGGAGAGGGGCCAGGAGCCTGCCATGGCTTGGGATCTGCTGGGGGGTGAGCAGTGGGAGTGATGGACAGGCCCCCTCCTGCCCATTGTCTGGAAAAATTTCCTGGTGGGTGACAATTTGTGGCATGACCCGGTAACGGCGAGGTGCAGACAGCAGACTGGCAGGGCCACGCTCGCTGGCTCACAGCAGATTTGGGGGTCACTGCTCCATAGGAACTGGTTTTGTAGCTCTTGACCTGAAAGAGCTTTGATGCTGGAGGTGCCCTGCATCCTCCCAACATCTCCTGAGCTTCTTCCTTGGCAGGAGATGGGCGAGGCAACCCCCTTCCCACAGGGTCCCTGACTTCTGGGGACAGTGCCCGCTGCTGTTTAAACATCTCCATCATCCCCCAGCTCCCACAGCAATCCTTTCCCAGGGAAATAACATCCCAGCACCTCCGTGATGCCCTTGGACTTTCCAAAGAACTTCTACATACCCTCAGCCACCCAGTGCCGTTGGGCTTCACCCCCAGGAGCTGCATGGTGAGTTGGGGTCCCTGCCAGGTCCATGCCGGGGGTCAGTCGCTGCCCATGTCTCCCCCCATCCCCTGGGACCGTGGGGACCATCCATCCATCAGCTCCATCTCAGGGGGATTTTGGTTCTGCTTCCCCCACAGCTGCTGGGCCAGGGGAAATGTTTAACTGTAACTTGCTGGGGTTTAGTTTTGTTTGTTTATATATATTTTTTTTAAAGTGAGTGTTTGCTCTCGCAGGGTTTCACTCTTTCAAGTGCTCAATGATGTATAAACAGATTAGCAGGTGGAAGAAGTATTTGATCAACAGCAAAAAAGCTTTTCAGAAAATGCTACTTGGGTGCGATTTGAATCAGAGCGAGTCGTGGAAGTGGCAAAACTAAAGGAAATAAAAAAAAAAAAAAAGAAAAAAAAGAAAACAGATAATATATTTTTAGCCTGAAAGCAGGTTTCTTAAAATGAGTAAAGTGCCATATGCTGAGCCAGCAAGAGGCATCTTTTCTGCACAAGGTACATAACCTATTTCTAACATATCTGAGGGCAAATATGTAAAGCTGGAGGGGGCAGGATGGGCTTTGTGACAGCTACTGCCTGGCAGTGACACAGGACTAGATACAGACCATATATTACTTATAAGACTGGGGATGTTCCAGTAGCTGGCAGTCACATTTCATTACATTTCTACTGAATAAAAAGGCTTTTTCTACTGTTTTATTAACAAAATGGATTCAAAGGCCCCCCAGCCTTATAAATAATTCTGCACATTTGGTTCCAGCACTCTGGGCTCTCTCTGCCACATCAGGAGGTGCCAGGAGGCAGCACCCACACCCTGGGCACAGGCAGGGATGGGCAGCACCACAACTGAGCCCTGCAGAGGTGAACGATGCAGACTACACACTGCATTTCAAACACAGACAAATAGCTGAATGTGCATAAGAAATAAATATATTTTCCCAATTTTCTCGACAAATATGGCCAAGCCTTGCTTGGCTCTCGAAAGAAAGAGAAAAAGCCCATTTTCTTAGACTTGAAATAAAATTTGCATTTTCTTTTAAGAGCTTGTGTTTTCAAATTTATTTTTAAAATAGCTAAATAAAAGTAGAAATAGATCTGCTTAGCTTCAAAAATTTCTGAAGGAAAGGTTTGGCCTCTTCATTTCTTTAATCTTCATATTTTAACGCTGAATCTACTGTCACGAGTTTGCAGATTATGATGATCCAATTGGGGATCTTTTCCACTCAATAAACTATTTCATTTAAAGTATTCAGCTTGTCTGTGCTCCAGCTGATCCTCACGTTTATCTCTGCAGCCCAATGACCCCTCAGGCTGGATTTTCTTACAGGATTTTTGGGTTATAAACCATGTCTGTAACATTGGACGTGCTGCTTTCAGCTGATCTGGCACTTGGTTTTGTTTTTGGAAGGTTTTGGGGTATTTTTTTAAATCCCTTCTATGAATATATTAGGATGAGAAAGGAGGCTCAGCTGATCCTCACGTTTATCTCTGCAGCCCAATGACCCCTCAGGCTGGATTTTCTTACAGGATTTTTGGGTTATAAACCATGTCTGTAACATTGGACGTGCTGCTTTCAGCTGATCTGGCACTTGGTTTTGTTTTTGGAAGGTTTTGGGGTATTTTTTTAAATCCCTTCTATGAATATATTAGGATGAGAAAGGAGGCTGGT